AGTAGGGAGGTTAGTTTTTTTTTTTGTTTTTTTGCTCAGTCCTTTTTTCCTTTAATCTGTGAGTATTGAATTTTCCAAGCACTCTTTCCTCGTTATGAGCCCTAGAAATTTCAACAGACTCTTCCTAATCTTAAGAATAAATTTCATTTTCATTTTCCATTTTCTCTAAAACTTTGTTGTTGCTCCCATGTCTAGTCCACAACATTCTCCACATCCATCTGTAGAACTACATTTCTGTTGCTTCAAGTCTCTTCTCCATCTGTGAGAAGATTATCAAGCATTCATTGCCATATCGGAGCACAGTTGTCCATGGTGCTTAAGTATAGAAAAAAATAAAAATACCAATTTACATTCCAACATATATTGCTTTTTCTTTCTTATACATCTGTCTGTATATATATATATATATATATATTAATTAACGAATATCAGTATAATAGAATATTAATATAATTTTGCTCTACCATTTGACATAGAGCTCTCCTAGATCTATATCCTCTTGGAAATTCCATAAATTTTACCATATTGTATCATTACTATATATATATATATATATATATATATATATATTAGAGATGGGTATGTTTGTATATAGTAATTTGATATTGAATCTAGCCATGTTTTTATTTATTATATCAAGAGTTTTTAATCTGTAGAAAATTACATCGTTCTCATGTCTAGCTTACATATCAAATCTCACTCTCTCTTTCTCAATCATTCTCTCTCTCTCTCTCTCTCTGTATATACATGGGTATGCATATATATATATATATATATATATATATATATATACAGGTAAGATAAGAACAAATGATGGAGCATAATTTGCTTGTCTATAACATTTAAAAGAGGTCTCAATACAGAGTAGATCTAAATATTATTTATTATCCATGCAAATAAATAATAATACAAAATATATACATATATATATATATATATATATATATATATATATATATATATATATATATATATCATTCCATTAATGACATAAACAAACAATCTGAAAGATGACAAGAATAATACCACAACCACCCCTTGTGGAAAGAACTTCAATACACAATCTCAATGCTGAAATGACCACAATTTTGTATGTATACATAATTGAACTCATGGGTACATATCTGCACCTGGCTCTGCATTATTCATATATGTATATGTTTGTAAGAACTACAATACATTCACCTGGATGTATGTATATCTGCGTATGTATGAGTGCCCTCCGAAAATGGACCCAAAGGAGAATTTTTCCTCCTACTACCACCAAACATCACCAAACTTAATCAAACAGAAACTGACATAAACAGATTCAAATTTTAAAAAATAAAACAGTTTGTCTGAGGATTGCAAAAGCATGAAACCTAGGGTTACAAACTCACATCCATACAACTATATATATATATATATATATATATATATATATATAAAGATATGTGTGGTGGTACAAAATTTTATCACTGCCATGATTAGACAAAAATTAGTTTTATTATTACCACTCATGATAATAAAAAGTAAAAATGAAAAACAGGCTAGCTAACCGGTTTCGTACATTGCTCAACAGAGCTAAATTGAGGTAAATTATATAATAAAAGAGTAAATTAGATAATAAAAAAAAAATGGGCAAAGTTTATTGGTGGAAAAAAAAATATATATATATATATATATATATATATATATATATACTAGCGTACCTATGCTGGTAAAAATAGTGGCAATTGTTAGAAAGTTTTTAATAGTGAGATGCTATGGAACAAAATCTTGAAACAATATATTGAGATTCAATAAAGCCAACTGAAAGAATTTGTAAATAAAATAGAATTCAATGAAGTTTTTTTTAATATTATCAGCTCTTTATATTTTTAAGACATATCTATTATTTATTGATTATTTTGCTCAGTATCTTTTCATGCTAAAAATATGCGTTTAATTTTACATTGAAATGGAAATCTCTCTCAGAAGTAAAAGATTAACAATAGTATGAAAATGATAGTGACAACAAAGCCTACTTCAAGACCAAGTTGAATCAAGATGACTAGGTAATAGACAAAGGTATCAGAATGCCTCACATGAAAGTCTTGAATAAATAAGACTGCAGTCTAAGAAATGTAGAAGTAAAGTAAATGATTAATTAAACACTTAATTTTGCTTGGAAAGTAATTTTGTTTAAATGCAGATTGATATTTTACTTGTATAGATTATTAAAATGACTAAGAGAAGTAATCATTCATGAATTTACTAACTTAACTTGATTTACTTCTCTCCCCACTTCAAATAGGACAGGAAATATAAAAATAAATACACATTGATAATTATTATATGGTTTGATTGTATATTTGAGCAGCAACCTTGTTTTATACTTTATATTGCTTTTCTGCAGTTGCCTACACTACAACAATAAAAGTTTTCTAGTTTAACTTCTAGATGATTAATCTCTGCTGAGTGTTTCATAAAATTGGCCTTGTGTCATTATTTGTTTTGAGATTTAACCTAACTTCCCACTATCCCTTGTAGTTCTCAATAAGTTTCATCCCTCTGCCACCTCCCCCAGACCATGTTCTGTTAACCACTTGCTTAAGCCTGCCAGGTATATCAGACGTTGCTTTCCTTTGTCTCTCTTTCCCTCTATTCAGCCTGGGAGTATCAGATTCTCCAAACCCTCCTTTCTCATTATGTGTCCCAAAAACTTCACCTACCTCTTCCTGATGTTAAGTATAAGCTTCCTCCTTGTCTGCATTCGCTCCAAGACCTCATATTTGCTCACATGCTAGGTCCATGATATCCTCAACATCTTTCTGTAGAAACACATCTCTGTTACCTCAAGTCACTTCTTCATCTTTGAGGAGACTGTCCAACATTCGCTGCTATAAAGGAGTTTAATGATCTATAAACTTTAATAAATAAATCTGATACATCTATCTATCTATCTATCTATCTATCTATCTATCTATCTATCTATCTATATATATATATATATATATATATATATATATATATATTTAAAACAAAAGATGGTACACATGTACTTCTTAGAATATGTACATTAATGGGATAATTAATGAAATTTGTAGGATAAAAACACAACAAAATGATGTCTTCATGCTTGAATTTTATCAAAAGGCTTATAAATATGAAATATGTATCGTATATATATATATATATATATATATATATATATATATATATATATATATATATATATGTGTGTGTGTGTGTGAAAATATATAGAAAATAGGAAAGAACTGGTTAGGTAAATAATCCAAAGTTCCTTAGTATTTTAGTTATTATTTTTAAAAAATAGTGCTCAATACACAAGTAGAGATAAATATAATTATTTATTTAAAAGTATGATTCCAACTGGCGACATAAGAGGTTTCATGTTTCAAAACAAGAGCCGAAAACTTCAATATAATTATTTGAATTAAATTGAGTTAAAGTAAGCTCTGTTCCATCTTCAAGCAAAATTTTTTTTTGAATAACGTATTTCTGAAATTTACATGTTTTAATAATTGAAATCAATATATATATATATATATAAATAATATCATCAATCTTATTGTCAATATTGCTATCATTTTGTTATGTTTTTATTCCTCAAATTTCATTAACAATCCCCATTAAATCTACATATATCTGTGTGTATGTGTGTGTTTTGCTTATAACCATATCCATGCAAATTTATAAATATCTATATCTATCTACTGTTATCTGTCTATACATTAATCTACCTATCTACATATAGATAGATAGATATGAAAAATACTGATATAGATAGACATCTGTTGTTTATGGTATTCTTTATTTACAGATTTTATTTTGCTTAAGCATCTATAAACATGCACGCCTATACACATATCTTTTTCCCTTTTCATATATATATATATATATATATATATATATATATATTCAAACATATACTGTTAAATGTAACAGACAATGAATGTTAATTATGTTTAATCATGAGCCGTTCTAAACATCTTAAAGTTGCTTTTATTTCAGAAGAAAATAAAGACAAAAATTGTCCAACATTTGGATATTTTTTTTATTATGCTGTTCCTTGATTTAAGCTTTCAGTTGGCATGTGCCATCTTCAGGGGTAATTTGGACATTTAAACAAAGATCCAATATGATATTCAGTTATGTTGACATAGAAGATTGCTATGCAACAATAACGGTCGTGGAATGGAAGACGCAGGTCGTAAATTCATGATGTGGGTTCTATGACGTCATACCACATGAAAGAATGAAATATCATAAAATATAGCTTAGATCAAGGAACAGCATAATAAAAAATATCAAAATGTTGGAAACATTTTTTGTCTGTATTTTCTCCCAAAATTAAAGTAACTATATGAAGTTTACAACAGCTCATGATCAAACATAATAGATATTCGTTGTCTGTTATATTTAGCAATATATGTTTGAATAATGATTTGCTGCCCCATATATATATATATATATATATATATATATATATATATATATATATATTGAGAGAGAGGGAGTAAGATGAAAATAAGTATAGATTTTTGAGTTTCACCTAGATACAAATAAAAGCACACTTCTCTTCAATATACTCACACATTTATGTAAGTATTCAAATACTACATACATGCGTGCATATAAAACAAGCTTTGTTTTGTATTCCGCTTTCATTCGTGGCAGATGTCAGTCAAGTGTTTTGATCAGATATTCCTAAAATGTTTACATCATCAACAGATTGAAGTAATTTGAATTCAGGTTTTAACGAAAAGAAATCAATTCTTCTAATGAAGAAAAACTGAAAGAAAAAAATAAATAACCTCTGCTGTCTCTTCTCTTCTCACCAGACAAAATTTTTTAAATATTCATCAGCATTTTATTTCATTGAGTTAATTTATCTCTCGTCTTCTGATTGTTGTAATGTATTATTCTTCAGTTGATTTAATTTTTCATGGAAACAAACATTCAACACACAGACAAACAACCATGCTGAATCTGTAACTGCATACATATGAGTATATCTATAGCATCCGATCAATGGAAATATTTGATTTATTGTAGAAAAATGAAGTAATATAAACACACAGATAGATGGATTGATATGAACAGACTGTTATAGATAAATAGATAGATAGAGAAATAGACTGATAAATAGGTAAATAAATAATCTTAAATAGATAGATAGAGAGAGAGAGAGAGAGATAGAAATGAACATATGAAGAAAGATGAATAGATATGAAGATACTGAGAAAGATAGATATGAATATACTGTGATAGATAGATTTATAGATAGATATGAACAATCCAAGATAGATTTGAAAATATTGAGATAGATAAATTAAGTGATAGAGAGATATGAACATAGATAGATAGATAGATAGATAGATAGATAGATAGATATTAACATACTGATGGACAGATTTACAGAGGGACATGAAGAATCCCAGATAGATATAAACATACTGAGATAGATGCACATATAGATAGATATGAACAATCCAAGACAATTAAATAGATAGATAGATAAATAGATAGATAGATATGAACATACCGAGAGCAATCTAAGATAGAAGGATAAATATGAACAAGCTAGTATAAAAATTGGTATTAGATATGAAATATATATATATATATATATATATATATATATATATATATATATATATATATATCTTTCTCTCCCCTCTCTCTCTCCTCTCGCTCTCTCTATACATATATATATGTGTGTGTGTGTGTGAATTTGTGCACACATGTATGATTGAATATAACAGATAAGTAATACTTTGTTAATTTTTTATGTAGATTCTCTTGTTTTCATAGAAGGGAAAGAAATGTTTTGGACCAATCATTTGCTCCCTTGTGCAAAAACAAGAAGAACTACATCCAAAATTAACTATTACTTGTCTGTCATATTCAGTAATACATATATATATATATATATATATATATATATATATATATATATATATTTGATAATTTGATGGATAAATTGATAAAAAATGATTGAGATAAACACATACGAAAAATATGATGTCAAAATAGACTGAGACAGACACCTCCAGTCTGATTAAATTCACTTACAAATAACCTTTATTGTCATTGATTGACAGAGATTCATAGACTCTTTCAGAAAAAGGTACATATATATACTAGCAGCATGGCCCAGCGTTGCCTGTGCTTGATTCAAAAATCGTACGACTCATACAGCAATCACTATCACTTGACTTAAAATATTTTTGCCCTTCCTTGCCTTTAAAGGAGTGCCTTTTGCCGTGCTGATGTTGCTACATGCCTTACTTCTTGCCTATCTCACACCGCAAATTTTTTCGAAGCTCTAAACATTAAATCTGTTACAAAAAAAGAACTAAACAAAATGAACACAAAATGATGAGCTTTAAAAAAGGACTCATAACTGGAAAAATTGAATGAAAAAAGAATGTTAACAACAAATACTTTTTCACACCCAACCCAGTTCTGCGGAATCAGAATCAACATTGAGTTTAAGCAAGCGAATGAGCCAATTGGAGTAAAGTGCCATGCAGATTTAAATTTTTCCCACTTGTGACGAATGCAGCTATCGATTTTTTTGCATGCTTGCATGTTAGTTAACATTTGTGTCAGTCAGCTGTTGGCTCTCATGCTGGCCAATAGAATCTGCCTGCCTATTCGTGGCAGCCAGCTATAGGCTCTCACTCTTGCCAGTACAAAATGGCCACAAACTACATGAAAACTACTGTAGAAGCATGAAAAATTGATAATTTCCACTATCAATGGGAGTTGGGAAACGCAAAGTTGGTCTTGGCCTTCCTATTAACTTGAAGCATGTAAATTTTGGTGCAAATCGTGAAAATTGCGCCCGATGCATTCGTTACACACACACACATCCTGCCTTTTATATATATATATATATATATATATATATATATATATTTGTATTTATTTAAAATTTGTGTATTTAGACAGCAATCCTTCTTTCATGCACATTTCATTGAATATGACAGACAAGGTGCTTTGATTTAGTTTTTTATACAATTTCTCATGTGATCTAATAATTTTTTTCTTTTCATATGATAAATTACATAAAATCTGTCTGAATGTTTTTTTTTTCCAAGCGCTTTCAATTATACATTTAGCCATTTTCAAGGATGAAATATTTTAACTATTAAATAAGAAATAGTTTGTTGCGTGAATGTATTTATATAATATATTTTTCAAAACACGGCCAAGATATTTTGTCCATGTACATTAAGTGAATAATGATGTATAAGATGAGTCCCACATTTTCAAGTTAAAATGTAGGTTTCAGGCTATATTCACCATACAAGACACCCCCATATTTTAAAATGTATTGCATTGAATTTATTAAATAAATTCAGTGAGGATATACTTTCTTTTCACTCAAATTCTAATGAAAATATGGTGGGGAGATATTGTCAATTAACTACCACAATCTACATTACCTCATGAGTGGGTGCCATGTTTTTGTTAGGCTATTACAGTAGCCTGAATGATTTTCCCCCGCTGCTAAACATCCACTTGTTCCACTGTTCTCGGATGCAATCTTTCAATTGCTTGTTGAGACACACATCCATTTGTGTTTTTGTTCAACATCATCAAAAACGGAGGTGAGATATTATTAATTAACTACCACAATCTTCACTATCCACTATCATCATAATGTGACTTAAGTTGTTTCAATAAAAAATATTTGCAGCGATAGTTAGTAAGGCATGATGTGATCCTACTGTAAAAAATAATATGGCTATATTATTTAGTCTAGGCTCTTTAGCCTTGAGTGGTAGCCTATCTAAGAGAAGGTCCTCTGAATTCAAAACCTTGGAGATGGCATTGGGAAACCATTCCTCAATAAGTCATGGCAATTCACTGATAATAAAGAAACAGAATCTGAGGAGAGCCATGATTGTTTAAGTCCTGAGAGGACATCTCTTATATTCTATTTTCCTTCAGGATGTCGATGATCATGAGTTTCCACAGTTTCTTATATTTGGTCTTCTCTCCATCTCTCCCAGTTACTCACTATTTCCTCTGTCCCCTTTGCCTTCTATTTGTAGAAAAAAAAACTGCTTTAGGGTCATAGCATGTACTGCAGCAGAGGCAGCAGCATAGGTGAGTCTAGACCAGGTGAGCCTGATGGACCCCATCCCTCCAACAAAATCTGCTATTTAAGTTAGAGCAGTATGTCCTCTCAGGACTTAAACAATCATGGTTCTCCAATCATAGCTTGCCTTATCCAAACGCATTAGTGCAAAATGAATGAAACAGAGTTGACTGAAATTTGAACTTTCCTATCTGTCTATATTTCTGAGATGAGGTATCATGTACACTATTTACATTATTCAGACTATTGCCCTCATCTTTGTCACCATATTTAATCCAACGTTTTAGTCATTGTACACTCCAGCCTTCTTCCAGAGGTTGGAATGTTGAACTGAACCCTCTATTTCTCTCACTGGAGTAGACTGTTCTAGTTCTACGTGCCATGTTTAATGGATGTCAATTGCCAGAACACATAGCACAGTGGATAAAGGCATTAGTTAGATCCAGTGACAGGACCCAAAGAGTATGAGTTCAATAGCTGGTTAAGGCAGTGGAGATCTTGGAGAGGAGAATTAACAGGAGATAACTGACAACTGACATCCATTAAACATGACAGGTGGAACTAGAACAGTCTACCCCAGAGAGCCAAATAAGAGGTTCAGTTTGACATTCCAACCACCTGAAGAAGGCCGGAGCATACAACGGCTGAAACATTGTAATAACCATGGCAACAAAGATGAGGGCAATAGTCTGAATAATGTAAATATTGAACTTTGTTTCTTGATTTCCCTTTCTGCACCAACAATATAAATGTGAGTGTTCCCCAGAGTTCTGCTATCCGTAGACTTATTTTGGTCCTAATTTTTAACAATGACCTTCCTGATGTCATCAGTTCTTGACATGGCACCTATGCTGATGACTCAACTATTTGTCCTTGTCTTAACGCTAAGTCTGATTGGTTCAATGAAGTCAAATTGACAGATGATCATGAAAATGACCTTCAATCTACTGTTAACTGGGGTAAAAAGCCTGTTAATTTTAACACCTCCAAAACTAAAGTGCTCTCTTTTAGAGAACTTTTCTTTCCTTCCATCAGCATTGCCTGAGGTTAGCCTCAAGGTGCAGAACTCATTGCACTTTCTCAGCCTAACTTTTTCCACTGATATAAATTGGAATGATTATATCGAGTCATTTACTAAGTTGTTACTAAGAAATTTGGTTTACAGTGTTGTGCTAGACAATTTTTCTCAGACGAACCTATCTTACATCTTTATAAGTCTACCATTTGTTCATACATTAAATTCTCCTTGGCTTGGCTTTGCAAATGAATATTTATGAAGTGGGCTGTCCACATCAATTGCAGGCACGCTGATGGCTGACTAGGCCGATGTGAGACAAGCAAATCCAGCCACAGCAATTGCAATTAAAGGTCTGGTCTGGTAAAGCTGCTGAGGCTTCCCGGTCATTCCTCCTGTGCCATTTCTCCTTCAGGTTGGTCCTGTGAGTGTCCTCAAAGGTGGAGATGACAGCCTGGCGGGCACTACAGCACCAGGCTTGACAGTCAGCAGCAAGTGTCAACCACTGGCAATGGTCAAAGTAGCAATCACTGAGGGACTTCTTGAGGGAGTCCTTATAATGCTTCCTTGGTGCCCCTCTGTCATGGTTGCCAGTGGTGGAGAGTATGCCATACAGGGCTATCTTAGGCAGGCAGAAATCACCAGCATTGAAGCCATGTTGCTGATGTCACAGCTATGCTGGGCAGACCATACATTAAATATTATAATCACATCTGCTCTGGTGCTTCTGCTATGTATCTATAGATTCTGGACAAAACCCAAAGAAGAATCTGCAAGATTAGCAGTCCTGAACTGGCACCTCAGCTTCAATCCCTTTCTGACCCCTATAAATATTCTTCTATATAATTTCTTTAAATGACCTTCTATAAATATTCTCATGGAAATTGTTCTGATGAGCTTTCCTTTTTTGGTACCTTGACTTCATGAATTTACACACAGTACTAGATTGGCAGTTAGGTCTCATCATGTTACAGCTGACATTGTTAAGTGTAACCATAATTTCTATTCTATTGGTTACTTCTCTCACTCTTATTGCTACATCTGGTAGCAAGGCCTCTGACTGGAAGATTTGAGAAGTGTGGAAGCATATCTTGTTGTTCCCATGTTCACTCTGACCTGGCACATAGTTAACTCCCAAACTGAGGCAAAAAAACTGTAAGTATAAGAATAAATTTTCATTGTAAAAAAATACCAGCAATAGATTTTTAAAAAAATTACCAGCAACAAATTTTTGTAAAAAGAAAAAAATTACTCCAGTTCAAAAGAAAATTAAATTTTGGTATTAAATGACCCATAAGGTGTTGATATGCCAATAAACAAGCAAACAAACAAACACTTGTTGCTTGTGGATCACTCTTCCAGTTTCTTGTTTTCCTGTCAACTATAATCTTTTAATATTTATTTACGTCATCTTCTGTTGCCTTTAATCCTGTAGTCTTATTATCTTTTCTTCTCAGTAATATTTTGTTTCTATTTCTATTTGTGTCTTAGTGGCTTTATCATCTTCCTCTGGGTGAAATGATTAATAAAAAAACAAAAAGCACAACACTAAAATATATATTCAGTAGTTATTTGTAACACAATGCCAAAATACAATGGAAGTTGGCTGTGAAGATTAAGCTTACTGTCAATGGCTTTAAAGATGATAACAATAAAGACTTTGGTAATATTTCTGACGCAAATAAATGTGAGTTCAAAGAAAATCCCAACACTGACAAAGAAAACAAAGTCTGAATAAAAACCCTAAACTAATATAATTTCAATCAGACATAGGCTGAAATCAAAATTATGTTTTTATGAATGCGAGAAAGCCGAGGCAGGAATAAATACTGTCAAAACAAACAAAACCTATTTTTCTTTTGCATACTTACGTCATACGCTTTGAGAAGCAAAAAATATAGAAAAAATAAAGAATAACTGAATTACTGATAGAAAGAAGTGAAAAATAAAGATTACATTTATATCTACATGTGCAGGTTTGTGT